TATTCAAGTGGATCCTGCAAAGGTGAAAGCCATACAGGAGATTCCAGCTCCCAGAACAGAGAAAGAAGTCAGAGGCTTCCTGGGACGACTAAACTACATTTCCTGATTCATCTCGCACCTGACTGCTACTTGTGAGCCAATCTTCAAGCTACTGAAGAAAGATCAAGTGGTACGTTGGAACGATGAATGTCAGGCCGCTTTCGAAAGGATCAAAGAGTATCTCCAAGAGCCACCTATTCTGATGCCTCCAGTTGAAGGGAGACCTTTAATCTTATACTTGACAGTACTCGACAACTCAATGGGGTGTGTGCTGGGTCAACATGACGAGTCTGGCCGAAAAGAGCATGCTATTTATTACCTTAGCAAAAAGTTTACCGACTGCGAGACCCGATACTCGTTGCTCGAGAAAACTTGATGTGCTTTGGCATCGGCTGCTCGCCGGCTGAGACAGTATATGCTGACTCACACTACTCTATTGATATCAAAGATGAATCCAATCAAGTATATCTTCGAGAAGCCTGCTTTGTCTGGAAGAATAGCAAGATGGCAGATGATCTTGACTGAGTATGACATCCAATACACGACCCAAAAAGCAATCAAGGGAAGTGTGTTGGCAGACCATTTGGCACATCAAGCAGTGGATAATTACCAGTCTATGAACTTTGAATTCCTGGACGAGAATATCATGATAGTGACTGATTGTGAGACACCTGGACCGGATGAAGGACCTGAGGAAGGATCCCGATGGTCTATGTACTTTGATGGAGCTTCGAACGCTTTGGGTAATGGCATTGGCGCCGTGATCATATCTCCTAAAGGCTCTCATACTCCATTCACCGCCCGACTATGTTTCAACTGTACCAACAACATGGCGGAGTATGAAGCGTGCATCATGGGTCTTCGAGCAACAAATAACCTAAGGATTAAGTTTTTGAGTGTCTTCCGAGATTCCTCTCTCGTGATCAGTCAGATCAAAGGTGAGTGGGATATGAAACACCCAAATCTTATCCCTTACAAGGAGTATGTATTGATGTTGCTTCCCCATTTTGAGGAAATAACCTTTGAACACTTCCCTAGAGAGGAGAATCAGTTGGCGGATGCGCTGGCTACGATGTCTTCTATGTTCAAGGTCAATTGGGACAACGAGGCTCCCCGGATTATCATTGAAAGATTGGACGAACCTGCACATTGCTGTGATATTGAGACTAAAGAGGTAACAGAGAAACCCTGGTTTCACGAAGTAAAAAGGTACCTTGAGACTCAGAAGTACCCCAAGGGTGCATCTGTTAATGACAAGAACTTTCTGAGGAGGTTCACGGCGAAGTTCAGCAATGGCATTCTTTACAAACGTAACCATGATTCGACCTTACTGCATTGTGTGGATAAGAATTAAGCAGAAAGGATCATGGCAGAGTTACATGGAGGTACTTTCGGAACTCATTCCAGTGGACATACCATGGCAAAGAAAATCCTTCGGGCAAGATATTATTAGTCCATAATGGAAGCCGACTGTTATCAGCTTTCTCGGACATGTCACAAGTGCCAAGTCTATGCTGATACGGTGCACATACCTCTAGTACCTCTGAACATCTTGACGGCACCTTGGCCTTTTGCAATGTGGGGCATTGATATGATCGGCGAGATCAGACCTACGGCATCCAACGGGCATTGTTTCATCCTGGTAGCAATTGATTACTTTACGAAGTGGGTTGAAGCAGCTTCCTTTGCTACCGTAACCAAGAACATCGTGGCACGGTTCATTTGGCACAATCTGATCTGTCGATATGGTGTACCAGAGAGGATCATTACGGACAATGGTACCAATCTTAACAACAAGATGATCACCGAGCTCTGCGAGCAATTCAAGATACAGCATCACAACTCTTCTCCTTACCGGCCGAAGATGATTGGGGCTATAGAAGCAGCTAATAAGAACATTAAGAAGATTGTGCAGAAGATGACAGTGACATACAAAGATTGGCACGAGAAGTTACCATTCGCTCTTCATGGGTACCGCACCTCAACACGGACGTCAACATGGGCAACACCCTATTCCTTGGTATATGGCATGGAGGCAGTCTTGCCCATTGAAGTTCAGATACCCTCTCTTCGATTTATGAAGGATGCAGGTTTGAGCGAAGATGACTGGATTCAGACCCGACTTGATCAACTAAACCTAATCGACAAAAAGAGACTTACTGCTATTTTTCATGGTCATACGTACCAAAAACGGATGATCAAGGCATTTAACAAGAAAGTTAGATGACAAGAGTATCAAGTTGGGGATCTGGTAATCAAGCACATTATTCTACCTCAAGGTGATCCTAGGGGCAATGGACCCCTACTTATGAAGGGTCATTTGTGGTTAAGAACATTTTTTCAGGAGGAGTTATGATTCTAACCACCATGGATGGTGACGACCTTCCTCACCCCGTCAATGCAGACATAGTGAAAAGATACTACGCATAATCAAAGACCCGCTAGGTTGACTGGCCTAGGCAAAAATAAGGGCTTCCCGATGAACCAAAAGGGTTCAGGCAAAAATAAGGGATGAAAATGAAAAAATCCGTACACCTGAAAAGGCGGCTTGGGCAAAAAAGGGTATCCCGGTGGACTGAAAACCCGAAAGGGCGGTCCAGGCAAAAATTAGGGATTAAAGCGTAACACTATGTCTCATTGGATCACCTTGCATCCAGACTTCGGTATCGACTATCAAGCTCGGACGACACTAATCAATCTGATTCATCGTCAACCAAGCAGCAAAGTGATAAGGTGCTCGAAGACATAAAGGCAATAGCAGAGTTGGAACCCAGTGGGATTATTCACATAGCTGTTTTGTTTAGTTTTTCACAAATTGTGTAAATTCTATTATTCGGCGGCGTTCTCTTACTAGGACGTCAGCCTCTTGTACAAAAACGCCTATTTACAGGCCAAACTTCAAAATCAATACAATTCATTTTCAAAGAAATTTCAAACTGTTTTTCCTTTATTTGTTTTGATCTGCAAGGAACGTCCAATGTTCATTTTTTGATATATGCATTTGACATTAATTACTGCTCATAAATATTTACATGCGAAACAAAAGACGATTACGAGTAATATCAGAAACAGGGGCAAGTGAGAATTGTCCGAACAATACAGTTGCTCTGTCCACCAGATACCAAGGTATATTCAGCCGAAGAATATGGCTAAGATACCTTCAATCCCCGCATAGTAAGGCATGGTAGCTCTTCCCCAGTTGAGACTTGCAATTATGAATGAATCAACAATGCTCTCCCCAAGCAGAGTTGATCTACCATCAGCACTAAAAAGGCTTGATATCCCCGGCAGTCTTAAGGTTCCCTAGCGGAAGTATAAGAATGTTCCCCGGCAGAATACAAGATACCCCCAGTGGAGTCAAAATTTTCCCAGCGCAGTCTGAAAAAGCTTCCCCAACAGAGTTGAAGCATCATCCCCAGTAGACTCTGGAAGTTTACACTACTAAAAAAAAGACATTTGAGAAAAGGTTTTTACATCGGGTATCAAAATAGGTGATGTAAAAAATACAGTTAACAAACTTTTTACATCAGGTATTTATTTCCAATGATATAAAAAATAAGGGAAAAAATTTTTTTCGTCACCTATTACATCGGGTAATCTCATCCACCGATGTAAAAGATTTCCAGAAAAAAAACACGGTGGCATTTTTGTAAATAAGAAACAAGGTGACAAAAAAGTTAAAAAAAATATAAGAAAGCTATTACATCGGTTTAAAGACAAACCGATGTAAAAAATGATTCTTTGAATTAATATATAAATTATATTGAAAATTAATAAAAACGTGGAAAAAAAAAAAAAAAAAAAAAAACATATTAAATCGGTGAAATATTCCACCGATGTAAAAGCCTAAGAATAATTTAAAAAAAAAAAAAAACCTATTAAATCGGTGGAAGTTCCCACCGATGTAAAAGCCTAAGAATTATTTTTAAAAAAAAAAAAAAAAACATATTAAATCGGTGGAATATTCCACCGATGTAAAAGCCTAAGAATAATTTTAAAAAAAAAAGACCTATTATTTCGGTGGAAGTTTCCACCGATGTAAAAACTTATAAACAGTATTTTATTTTATTCCAAAAAACTGTTCATTTGCCAACCCATTTTCGCCGACCCATTTCCTACTGTCACGACCGCCGCTACTGGTCACGTTCGCCGCCGACCCATTTTCGACCTTTTTCGCGCGACGTTCATCCGCCGACCCTCACGTGCGTACGCCCTCTGCCTTGCCCGATCCGCCCTCCCGTCGCACCGTCCATTGCTTGGCCTGCTCTTTGCCGGTCCGCCCTTCCGTCTTGCCGGATTCCCTTCGACCGATACCGTGTCCGCACGCTACTCTCCCTCCGGTCTCCGATTCAACATTCTTCTGTTCTCCGTTCAGTTTCTGTGCACTCCCATCCAGCTCCCGCGAATCGTCACTCTGTGACTTGTTGGAAGTTTGCTTGTGTCAGATCGTTAAGGTATGAAGATTTCGACTCTGTTTCGTATTATTTTCAAGTGGCTGTGAGTGTATGAATACATAATGTTGTTTTGATTTGGAATGAAAATGTTATTGTGATTATTTTGATGTTGATTTTGAAATGATGATGATGATGTTTCTACGGAAATGTTAGGTTGAACTGTAATAGTTAGTATGAAATCTGTAATTTCTAATGGTTTGATATTGTTGTGTTTGAAGTTTGAGTCATTTAGTTATACTGCAAAAATGTTGGGGATTTCGTGACAGAATTTTCAAGATTCGTAATGTTTGTTTTATTTGTTACAAATTCTAGAAAAATGAGGTTTGTGGCATTTGTTTTTTTATTTGAAATCATGAGGACAATTTCGTGTTAGAGTTAATATCGGTAACCGATTGTTGGTTTTTAATTTGAGAAAATTCTTGTTGAAAATTATGATAAAGTTTATTACTAATAATTGAACTTAATAGACGAAGTTGTTGTTGTTTTAATATTGAGTTTGAATGATGATTATTGTTTTTGGTTTGTCATGAAATCGAATGATATTGTTAACATATCACAGTCTTCTGCAATATTGCACCAAGCATTATGATCATGACCATTTTTGCATCCACACTCATTCCAATTATTACACTTCTTGTTATTTTGCTTCTCCATCTCAGCAACGGAAGATACTCTTACTTTAATCTCTACTTCCACTTCTGGTGTTGACAACATAACCTCTTTGCAATCACTTCCACTCGCCAAATCCATTTTCAACCATTCTTTTAACTCCATGTTTTGTGATTCAAGAATCACCTTCCATGGAATCTCACCTTTTCCAATAAGTTGTGACCCCCACATCTTCCTCTGCCTTAGCTCCAATACAAGGCTTTGTTGATTAAGGATTTCCAAAAACTCTTGAGGACAAGAACAATCTAGATTAAAAGACTCGTCCCAGAAGGGTACTAATTTAGTAGAAACATTTTTGGTGTTGAGTTGAATTCTTTTGTTGTTTCCTATTGGAAGATAAAACCTGGCAAACAAGTTTTTGGTGGAGTTGATGAATTCAATGTTTCGTGCTTGTATTATTCTTAATTGGCAGCTGAAGTTTGCATAAGTATCCATTGAAAAATTGAAGTATGATAAATAGGAGTCTATTTTGTTATATTTGTTTTGTTTCAGTTGTTCTATGTATGTCATACATTATATAGTGTGGAAAAAATAAATTGGAATGCTTTTTGTGAGTATAATATATGTTAAGTGTATTGGAAAGCAGTTGCATAATATTATAAAACTGTCAAGTATCTTACTTGTGCTTTTTTTGTGTGAATATTTTATTAGCAACTTAATATTAAGTGATTCACATGAGATTGTGTAGAAGATTATATATTAAAGAAAATCTTTAGAGTTTCGAAAGGTTAGATTTTCCAATTTGGATCTAGCTAGTATAGGATAAGAATAAAAGGCCTTAATGCTGGATTCAACTGACAGCCATCATCAGTAAGGCTTGAACCCTAGTAAGCATTCTCATCCAATTAACTCACTAGTTGTTATAGTGCACATATTATAATCAATAATACAAAATATTGGAAAATTTTCTTGCCGCTAGTTAAGCTTAGAAAACTAAGGTATGTTACATGTTATTCCATTATAACGTTAATATCATTTGTTTAATAGAAAATGTTTTTTTAATAGGCAATGATCATTTAAAAAGAACACAGGATACTCACACCCACCTATAAATCTAAACTAGTCTTTTTTGAAAGAGAACAAAGGTACAATGTACCAATCATAAAAGCTACATCAAGAAAAGGAATTTCTACCTTCATTAAGTCATTTTTAAGAGGAGAGTTTGACTCCAGATAAACACTCGTCTAAGTTGAGGATTTTGTCATTAAAAATATTGGCATTTAGTTGCAATCAAAGAGATTAACACTACTAAAAAAAAGACATTTGAGAAAAGGTTTTTACATCGGGTATCAAAATAGGTGATGTAAAAAATACAGTTAACAAACTTTGACAGTGGAAGTTTTGCTGCATTTCTGATCATACATTTCATTTCTATTCATATATTTGTGAGATTTTTGGTTTGGAATCGAAAGATAAACTTTGATGATATGATAATTATAGTTTGACATCGGTATTTTGAAGTTGATAATGGAGTTTCGGTTTGTCAATGTGCTTGTGATCGTGTTGCGAGGTTGTTTTTTCGCTTGTTTTAAATTTGAATGAGATTTTAATAATATGTTCACTTGATTTTAATTTGGTTGAAGTTTCAATGTCATTATCATGTTAATATGTTATTCTTGCTTGTGGGGGTTTGTTCATGTTTTAATCAATTTTTATTTTGCGATAACAATTTTAAATAGTTGTCGCTGCCTACACCGTCGCCGCCAATACCACTTCCGCGACGCATACCGCCTCCAACACCCATTCTACTGCTTCCTCGTCGCCGATTCATCAGTCCCGTCTTCTGCAAATCATTCTGCAAATCATTCTGGGGTTCGTTCTAATTCTATTTCTTTTTTTTTTTTGCATTTTCTTTTTCAATACAATTTCAGCATTTTTATGCATTTACGCTATGTTACATTACATATCAATATTATGCAGTTGGCTAGTATACGATAGTTTAAATTTCTATGGTTCTTCCTTAAGATAAAGTTATACATGTTTATAGATACTAAACTTAGTAACTTTAACTAATGCAACAAGCTACTTGTTTCAAGAAAATATGGTGTATGTTAGTGTTTGTGCAGTGTGAAATTTCATGATCATGATGGTGATAGTGAAACATGAAGATTGTTATATTATTAAGTATTTACAGGTTCTGAGACAAAAATTGAATATATGGTGATCGTTTTGAAATTATTAGAAAAGGAAACCAGTGAGAATCAGTTATGTATTAGTGGTGCAAAGTGTAAAAATAATAACAATTAGTAATAAATTGTTAATAGAGTTATCACCTTGCCATTGAAATTTGATTCTATTTGTCTTTCTCCGCGAAGCAGCGCAACTTGCAATCTCGGAATCTCCGTGAAGTAGCACAGCCGCGGACACACCGTTCGTCAGACCTTCCTCCGTGTGAACATAATTATGGATCGTAGTTGGATGAGAGCTAATCGATTAAGTGACGAGTACGAACATGGAGTGATGGAATTTCTACAGTTTGCTGAAAGTAATGCTGACAAAAGTCTTCCTACGCTTTTTCTCTGTCCATGTATTCGTTGTGCAAATAAAGAACCAAAACGTAGTAAGAAAGAAATCATGGATCATCTAATTTGTGTAGGGATTTGTCAAAGTTATACAAAATGGATATGGCACGGTGAAGTAGTAGCAAAGTCAAACGTGTCTCAAAGAGATGGTGTTAGTGTAGAAATGGATGATCATCTAGAAGACATGATGCGTGATATTGGACAAGATTCGTTTAAGAGGGCACATACGTATGATACTATATGCAATGACAAGGATAAACCATTGTACCCGGGATGCAAAAAATTTACACGTCTGTCAGCCGTGTTAAAATTATTTAATCTGAAGGCAAAGAATGGGTGGACTGACAAAAGTTTTACCGAGTTACTTGAATTGTTGACCGAAATGCTTCCAGAAGGTAATGTAATGCCAAGTCGTTATTACGAGGCGAAGAAAATATTGTGTCCAATGGGTTTGGAGTATGAAAAGATACACGCATGCCCTAATGATTGCATATTATACAGAAAAGAGTATGAAAAGTATAATCATTGTCCAAAGTGTAAGGCTTCACGCTACAAAAAGAAAGATGGTGAGTCAATTGATGATGAGGTGGTAAAAAAGGGTCCTCCTGCGAAAGTGGTATGGTACCTACCAATAATTTCAAGGTTCAAGAGATTATTCGCCAATGCAGATGACGCAAAGAATCTTAGATGGCATGCAGAAGAAAGAAAATATGATGGACAAATTCGTCATGTAGCTGATTCTTTGCAATGGAAGAAAATAGATTCTTTGTTTCCAAATTTTGGCAAAGAGTCGAGAAACCTTAGACTTGGACTTGCTACTGATGGAATGAATCCGTTCGGTAATCTGAGTACTAACCATAGTTCTTGGCCTGTTCTCTTGATGATTTACAACCTATCTCCTAGGCTGTGCATGAAGCGTAAATATATTATGTTATCGATGATGATATCGGGCCCAAAACAACCAGGAAATGACATAGACGTTTATCTAAGTCCACTGATTGATGATTTAAGAGTGTTGTGGGATGAAGGGGTGGATGTTTTTGATGCGTATTCTGGCGAACAGTTCAATATGCGTGCCATGTTGTTTTGCACCATCAATGATTTTCCGGCATATGGTAATTTGTCTGGGTATAAAGTTAAAGGGCATAATGCATGTCCTATATGTGAAAAAGACACTTGTTACCATCAGCTTGAAAAAGGAAAGAAGACCGTTTATCTCGGGCATCGAAAATTTCTAAAACGTTATCATCCATATCGTAGATTGCGGAAAGCTTTCAATGGGGAACAAGAGCATGGTGTTGCTCCAAAGCCCTTGTCTGGAGAGGAAGTTTATCAGCGACAACAGGGACTTGATGTTATCTTTGGAAAGTACCAAAAACGATCTACTGTGAAAAATGTATGGAAAAAGAGATCGATTTTCTTCGATCTTCCATATTGGTCTAGTCTTGATGTAAGACATTGTATTGATGTGATGCATGTGGAGAAAAATGTATGCGATAGTGTAATCGGAACACTTCTCAACATTCAAGGCAAGACAAAAGATGGTATTAATGCTCGTCTGGATTTGGGTTTGATGGGTATACGAGAAGAGTTAACCCCACAATATATAGGTAACAAGACATATTTGCCTCCTGCCTGCTACACTTTGTCTAAAAAAGAGAAAACAAGTTTTTGTGAGTGTTTACAAAGTATCAAAGTGCCGCATGGTTACTCATCAAATGTCAAGAGGCTTGTATCAGTTAAAGATTTTAAATTAGTTGGCTTAAAATCTCACGACTGTCATGTCTTAATGCAACAACTACTACCATTGGCTATTCGTGGGATATTGCCTAACAACGTAAGGAAGACCATAACTAGGTTATGCTTATTTTTCAATGCAATTTGTTGTAAAACCATTGATCCACTAAAGTTAGACGATTTGGAAAATGAGGCTGCAGTTATCTTGTGCCAATTAGAGATGTATTTTCCTCCTTCATTTTTTGACATTATGGTTCACTTGATTGTTCATCTAGTAAGGGAGATTAGATTATGTGGTCCAGTTTTTTTACGGTGGATGTATCCAATAGAGCGATACATGAAGATTCTAAAAGGGTATACAAAAAACCCACACCGTCCGGAAGCATCGATTATTGAGAGGTACATTGCAGAAGAAGCAATTGAGTTTTGTTCTAACTATTTGTCAGGAGTGGATGTTGTAGGGGTTCCTAAGTCTCGTCATGATGGAAGATATGAGGGTGTGGGTACACAAGGTTTAAAAGTCAAGAGCTTAAGTATTGATGTGGTTGTTCAAGCGCATTTGTATATATTGAATAACATAGATGAAGTTCAACCTTACTTATCTGCTCACAAAAGCATCGTAAAGAAAAAGTACCCCAAGATGAATGAAAGAGGGTTGTTAAAAGAGCATAATAAGAGTTTCACTGAGTGGTTTAAAGAAAGAATTGCTAATGAAGATAGTGTTTCTAATACAATTAAGTGGTTGTCTTATGGGCCTAAATGTAACCTAATAACTTGGAGTGGATATGATATTAATAAAACCTCTTTTTATACAAAGTCAAAGGATGACCGTAGTACCACGCAAAATAGTGGGGTAATGATTGTGGCCGAGTCCATGCACTTCTCTAGTGCTAAAGATAAAAACCCGGTTATGGCATCTACACCGTACTTTGGGGTGATTGAAGAGATTTGGGAAGTTAATTATGTTGTGTTTAAAGTTCCTGTATTTAAATGCAAATGGATTGATATCAACAGTGGTGTCAGAATCGATGAATTTGGAGTTACACTGGTTGATCTTAGCAAGTTAGCTTATGCGAACGAACCATTCATCATGGCATCTCAAGCAAAACAAGTGTTTTATGTCACAGATCCTTCTAATAAAAAGTGGTCAGTGGTTTTACAAGGAAAGGTCCATGA